TCTTATATTTTCCCTCCTTTTTATTATTCTCTCTCTACCCTATTAAATATATACATAATGAATGACTAGGCCGTCTATTCATTAGACATTAATGCCAAATAGACTGGAAGACTTTCTATTTAGATATCACCTAGATTGCAATCCATGAAATGCATTGGAGATGCTCTAATTGTAGTTTGTACACTTTCTGTATCAGGTCATCAACAGCGACAATAAAGGAAAAAGGGATTTTATGAATATTGATGACTAATTGATTACACAATTATATTTGAATCACACAATTAAGAAACCAGCGGACAACATGAGACCCTTAAGGTTCAGAAAGAAAATGGGGAAAAATGCTCTATAAATTTTACCTCAAATACGATTCCAGTATAATAAGCAAGGCCACGGACAATGGATGCATCAAACTGAATCCACTCAGAGTAACCATACTTTTCAGCAAGCAAAAATAGTTGCTTTAAGTCAGCAAGTGCTTCCACGGAATCCCCAAGTTTCTCTACAACAAAAGCAAAACGCACCACACTTGTTAATATAACAAGATAATAAATTATAATTGATTCAAAAATAACACTCTTGCTGACATAACCTTTTCTCAACTGGCCTCAAGTAACTATTAAACACATGGCAGAAGAATATGAAGCAATTTTACATTATAAAAATTTGCAGTTGCATTCCCCAATCAATTTTTCTAGTTTTAAGGTCTCCAAATTTTCATTTAAGGAGCACATTGCTTAATTCTAAAATAGTTGAGACAAATTCTGGCACTAGCCTGGCCCTATTACTGGTGTTGACTTTGCATGCGAGATCCTAATTCACATGCCAGAGACAAAATTCCACTGTCCCAAACTTCCAAAACTAAAAAGAAAAATGATGAAATGAAGTTATAACTTGAGAAACAGTAAGACCAACCTTCCAACGTCGCCAAAGACTTCATAGAAAGAATTTCCAAAAGTTCATCAATAGCCTCCTCTGATAACTCAGCAGACTTCAATTCTTTCTTGATTTCATCTATTGGAATCTTTTCCATCTGTTTTCAGCCAAAAAAGAAGGAAAGAAAAAAAAAAGGAGAGAAATGATTAAATAAAATATAGCAGAACAATAATGCAAACTGTACAAAACAATTAGAAAAACTTTACAACACGTCTGTGAGAGAGGCATGAATAGCAAAGCACCCATATTCAGTTTCTCAAATTGGGTGTACTAATGGCAAATCAATAAAGCTGTACAACTTAAAACAGATAGGTAACTGGTACATTTATATAGCTTACATAAATTTGACTCACCACATCTTTGCTGAATCCCATTGACATATATCATTGCTACCCCGTTGAAAAGATGACAAGAAATAAAACAGGGTTACAATTCCTGGGACAAAGGTATCCATATCCTTCTGCGTATTTATGAAGTAAATTACAGTGCATGCTGCCCCATCAGATAATGTTTATTGCAAATCACCCGAACACCAAAATCCCCCAATAAAACACAGAGAGAGAGAGAGAGAGAGAGAGAGAGAGAGAGAGAGAAGAATTACAGTAATTAATAGGCATTAATAAATTAACTTCTACTTATATGAAATACTGCCAGAGAAGTCTTTCCTGAACTATCCTATGGTAACTCATTTTTCCATCGAGCGGAATTCATAGATGGCTTTTAAGTTTCTCCAAGCATTGAAAAGGAAAACCGACTTTCAATTTGATATAAAGAGAACTCTCATACCAACAACGGTCATCAAGCTCTGTGCTTTTTTCAACTTTTGCCCTTGTGAATGCGGGAAAAACATATCTAATGATGGCATGTTACATTCACAACACCGGATCTCATAAAGAAAATAGGATAGAATATAGAAAAAGAAGTGACTTGAGATCACCGTGTCGGTTTCTTTTATTTTTCCCCCTCAACTCTTGGGCTAGTCAAGTCCAAATTTATGATAATGTGACAGACCTTGCCTCAGGAAGATGAGAAAAAAGTATCTACACATTCAATGTTGAATCATAAAGCTAACCTTGTCTATAATTATGCAAACCCTGCCAAACAGACTTTCTGGAACAGAGTAGCGTCTCAAAACTTCTTGCAAAACCTGTGACAAAAGAAGATGACGTGTCAATTCTCCAGATAGCAGAAGTATGCATAGTACTGCTTAATAAAAAAACAATAAGTGATCATATGAAGTGGAAAGATTTTGAATGAACTTCATATGTGAACTGGAAGTTGAGGCGAAGCAAAAGACAATATATCATGGTGATTGTTGAAATCATACTGATATTAAAAAGAAGCGCATATTAAGGCCCCGTTTGGTACCCATTTTTTTCAAAATGCATTTTTCTTTCTCTTCTTTTCAACCACACATTCTTTATTAAAATAATATTACACGTAAATAAAAAAAATTTCCTTATTTTTCAACAACACATTTTCCATTGATTTACTATTCCAAAATGTATTTTTACATAAAAATGGCTCCCAAACACCCTCTAAGGATCTCTAGATCAATTTCCAGAGTGCCTAAAAACATGAATACAAGCTAATGATTTGCCCTGAGATGCATAAGTCAGAAAACATGTAATGTTCAACAAAATAGACTCTCCATTGGCCTTAGTACTTGATAAACAAAAGGCCAACACATGCCAAGAAGGTGATATTAATTTAAAAAATGCATTTAGAAAATGAAAATGTGTCTTGACTTTCACACCTTTCGGCTAGAAACTTTAAATCCAACATCTGATGCAGTGATCCCAATGCGTTTGAAAAAGGTGACAATTGAAGAAATCAGCTCTGCTTCAGCCTATGAATCACAGAAAAGAAGTAAAGCTTAACAAGGTAAATCTGACAGCACAATTGTTCAAAACAAAACGTGAAAAGTTTCAGGTATCTCGTGTCATTAATGGAAATTTAGCAGTAGCACTATTTAGGGTTTATGGCAATGTGAACAAAGAAAATGGCTTCAGTTATACAAATAAATTTAAACTTGCTCATTTTAAGTACATCCGAAACTGTAAAATGATAATCCATATCAGCCCCAATGGTATGTCTATGCATTATAAGATCCACATGTCGGATCCAAAACTTATGCAACCTCATACTATATTCAATGTGGTTTTGTTCGTGAAAAATAAATTCAAACTTGCTCAATTTAAGTACATCTGAAACTGTAAAATGATAATCCATATCAGCCCAAAGGGTATGTCTATGCATTATAAGATCCACATGTCGGATCCAAAACTTATGCAACCTCATACCATATTCAATGTGTTTTTCTTCATGAACCGACATGCAAGCCTCGAAGCTGTTTGAGGCGTAAGGCTCACCACACCCAAAAAATCAAATAATGCAAATTAAACATCTAAG